TACTGGGAACTACCATGTGCCAGGGTCTGTGATAGAAGTTGACAGAGGCAGTGCCCTCAGATTCTCACCCACAATGAAGGAATTCCAAATTTAATGCTTGCTCCTTGCTATTCTTTATTTTCATTTTAGGTCATATTCCTTCTTTTTAAAAATTACTTTTAAAAAATGTTTTAAAATTGATTTTTAGAGAAAAACATTGATATGAGAAAAACATTGCCTCCCACGTTTGGGGCCTGAACCCACAACCTGGGCATGGGCCCTGACCAGGAATCAAGCCACTACCTTTCAGTGCACAGGATGACGCTCAACCAACTGAGCCACACCAACCAGGGATCCCTCTTTTTAATACAACTCCATCCAGAAAGGAGAAATCTAGAGCACAACTGCCTGGCAGAGCAATTAAGTACGATAAACAGGCAGTTAGCAAAAGACTTAGAGATGAGAAATTTCTATAAACCACTGTACAGCTACTAACGACTATATTGACACAGAACCTTCTCTCACTAAGGTCAACGGTGCTAAGGACACATTATAATTGGTTGTACCTGTGGTTCGGGTGATGGGGCTAAGTGATGGGAGTGGCGGGCAGATTTATATCTCTATGTAAAGGCAAACTCATGGGCTGCCCACCAGATCTTGCCCCACAAACAAACAGGGTGAGCTCAGTGCTAGCAAGCCTTTGGGCAACACTCCTTAGTACCCAACCTAGGACCCTAAAAACAAAACATAATTCTATTCAAGAAAATAAATGTCTTCCTATAAGAAATGGAGCCACAATTGTTCTTGCTCTTATTCCACTTGCTCTGTTGACTGGCTGATGGTTCTTATATCATTCCTTCGGTCCCAGCGAGATGTCCAGCTGAAAAACTACATGGGAAATACAACCAAAACAACAGAGTTCAAGAGTCCATTTGCTAACACTATGGGAAAACCCAAATGGGCTACCAACCATAATGGTCTATTTCTCAGAGAAGCTATGTGGACTCAGAAAAATTTATGAACTTTAAATGATCCCCAACTCTTTATGCTTGAGTGTTACTGACATAGGCCAATTCAGAGGAGAGTATTTTAGTAGCAGGCTTGGTATGACATACTGCCGAAATCACTGCCTTTATCCAGGGGAAGCTCCCAATATAAAAACAAGATATAAATACATAAGCAAAATTTCTTTAAAATAGTTCCTGATTTATGATGATTTGACTTTCAATATTTCAACTTTGCGATGGTGTGAAATGATACACATTGCTCTTTTCCTGGGGTAGCAATATGCAGTACTGATACCCTTTCGTGATGCTGGACAGTGGCAGCGAGTCACAGCTCCCAGTCAGGCACACGATCATGAGGCAAATAATGCATATTCTATAGTGCACTGTGTTGCCAGCATTTTTGGGATATTGTGTTCACATTTAAGGCAGGCTAGGGTAACATATGACGTTTGATAGATTAGGTGTATTAAATACATTTTTGACATGAAAAATTATGATGGTTTATCAAGATAAAACCCTATCATAAGCAGAGAAGCACCTGTATCCTTAAATTGGGCCTATGGTATTGTAGAAAAATAAAACTTGGCAATTGGTAGTCCTGAGTTCTAGTCCATGTCCATGATCTAGTTCTAGTCCCATGGAATCATGATTTTGAGCCACTTTCCTCACCTCTGATATAGTAACAATGGCAGAAGCAAGCAACAGTACCAATTGTCCAATTACAATAGCAGTATAATACTTGCCTCATAGAACTGCTGTACTGATTTAACTTTACATTGAAGTACACGTTAGTTATCAGATTTTTTTTACTTAAGTAAAAGGTGGCCATTCTTTATGTTTATGTTATATTAGAAATACAGGGTACACAGGATAATGGAGTCTGGGTTTCAAATGTAAAACTTTTTTTAAATACAAGTACCACCCATTATTGGTTAGGATAAAATTCAGTTAAGTACTGGTTTCTCTAAAAAACAAAAGGGTAGGACACATGACAGTCCAAATACTAAATGAGAAGTTATAAAGGAGACTAGAGGTTTTTTCTTTAAGAATCTAAGATTCCTGCCCTGACCAGTGTTGTTCAGTGGTTAGAGTATTGACCTGCTCACCAAAGGGTCACAGATTTGATCCCTGGCCTAGGTCAGTGGAAATTCGGGAGGCAACCAATCCATGTCTCTCTCTTACATCAATGTTTACCTCTCCCCTCCACCTCTAAAAAAAAAAAAAAAAAAAAAGCAAAAAAAGCAAAAAAATATCCTCAGATAGGATTAACAACAACAACAAAAGAACCTAAGATCCCTATAATGGTGTAAAATAATCATTTCATGATTATTCACATAATGTCATAACCTTAATTACTGCAATCCAAATCAAGAATTAGCCAATTTCCTTTGGGTCAAATACCACATTTTAAAAAAATTGCAACATTTAGTGAGAACTCGGAAGTCGAGACCAAAGTATTCTGTAAGACTCCCTGTAGATCTGTGAAACAGTGTTGGGAGACAAGGAGATTAATGAAGATTGTGGAATTTAGCTAACAGCCAGTTCCTTTATTCACGCTCAGTGTGAAATATATGGATTGAAACACAGGGCGGGATTCTGAAATTGGTAAGTCACCTGTAAATTTCCTTGCTGGGGCTTAGTTGATGGGGTCTACGCAATCTGACCCCTTTACAACTCCCCTCCACTAGTCTTCTACTTCTCTGACCTCATCTCCTGCCACGGTACTTTTATTCATTCAACTCTAGCCAGTTCCCTCTGCTCTAGCCTAGGAATGCTCCCAGGATCTGCCTTTGGGCTATTACTCACCATCCCTCCCCCCTGCCTGTGATGCTAATCACCAGAGAGATGCATGGTTCTCTTTCCTTCACTTTCTTCAAATCTTTGCTCAACTGTTGCCTTGACAGTGAGTTTTCTTGTGGGCTCTAATAAAGACTGCAACCCTTCCTTCCCTGTTTAACTTTCTCCTAGCACTTATCTGATATACTATACACTGAGTGGCCAGATTATTCTGATCTCTGAATGCATAATAATCTGCCACTGTGTGTATCCTATATATAGGAGTTCAACCAGCAGGTAGGTTGGTCAACCGCCCATGTCCCTTCCCCCTGGCCAGGCTGGATGGACCCCACCCATGCACGAATTCATGCTCCGGACCTCTAAAAATAAATAAACAAACAAACAAACAAACACACACACACACAGACAGAATGGCCTGATTATTATGCATTCAGAGATCATAATAATCTGGCCACTCAGTGTATATATTTTAATTATTAGTTCATTTTCCATCTTTCCCTCACCAGGTTAAGACCTTCTATTTTTGCCTGTGTGTTCACTGCTGTATTCTAGAACACTGCTTGGCATGTAGCAGATCCTTAATCAATATTTGTTAAATGGAGTAAATAAATAAACAAATAGGCCACAATGAATGACAAATTGTTCAGTATGTAAGACTACCAAATTCAAACTGTCAACTTCCTTGAAGAAAGGAGACAACAGGATTTAGGATAATGTGGTTTTAAGAACTTAAGAATGTTATAGATATAAAACAGGCTGGATAAAGAGAAAAGGCATAGTTAGGCTCTTGTGACCTGTTTCCCCCAAAGTGTTCTCTAACCTAAGAATGCCTAACAATCAGCTGACTGCTTGTTGTAGAGATCCCAGGTCTGCGTCCAGAGGGCAGGCTTACTAGTGATTCTGAGTGGTCCACAGGACATCTTGGGAAACACTGCCTTGGCACCACTCCAGGTTAGATGTGAGACTCAAGGCAGTTTTGTCCATTCAGTTTACCAAAGCCATTTTAAGTGATACCATGGCATATGAATAAGCACTGACTGTCAACAATTCAGACATGCATGGAAGATAATCCTTTGCACGTGTGTACTTTGACTAAAAGGGTTGGTCTCTGTCCCCATCATAAAGATCTCCTGTGGTGCGTTAGACAGTGTTGCGCCCAGGAATGTTGTTATTCCAGGTAAGAACCTCGGTCGAAGGCCATTAAACCATGTCTATACTAAGTAGGTCTAACCCACAGCAAATTCTGGTTTTGCAATACTAGGTATTCACATGGCCTGTTTTATTGTTTTCATAAAGGTCAGACCTACCCTATGCATCAGCCACACAGAAAGCCACACCTCAGATAAGGTATAAAGTATATGACTCCGGAGTGGCAGTATATACAAAATGAAACCATAATGGCTCCAGATCTGATTGAATAACCAAACAAACCCAGGACCCCCACCACAGAGCTAAATGAGGAGACCCATTCAAAGCCGACATTTTCCCTAACGACTTTTTCTGGATCACTGAACAAAAAACCCCACAAAAAAACCAACACAAGTCTTCTACTTACCTACCACTGAATTGCAGCAGAATTCTGTGTCAAGGATGGAACTAACTGTGCAAACAGATGTTTCTTCCAAATTCCAAGGAGTGACCCTAAACCATAGGCTTTTTACTCAAAGCTTCCAACGTTTTCAAATGTAAAAAAGCCGGTGTTTCCCTCTCCAGGGAAAACATTAGTTGCTGGAATGCCACCGTTGGGGGGAGGGGGAGGAAAATCAATATTTTTCTTCCATTTCATACGAATATAGCTCTTTACCTAAGTTTTTTGTCCCATAGCTTAAAATGCTCTTTAAAAGCCTTTGACATAACAGCTGTTGGAATGGGGAAATCACTGGTGTAAAAGTTGATTCGCCTACATTCTTGGAAGTTTTCATTTAAGTATTAACTTTGAGCCATGCGACAGAAATTCTCATGGAGGTCTAGGGAATCATTGACCTCAGGAACCCTTAGTGTTATCCCAAACTGCTACGGACTCCTCTTTATATGAGAGTGTATTGTTATAATAATTCTTGAATGAGTAACTTATTACAAATAATACTAACTTAAAAGACAATTACTACTGGTGTTTTAAATCTGACTCCATTTCTTTCCAGAGAAGTGAGTGTGCTGCTAAGCTCCATTCCACGTACCAACCTGGCGATGGCCACCCAGCTTTCTCAATAAACTCACCTTCTCTCCTTGGAGTGATGGGACCGAGTCCCGCAAACTGTGAAAGCTGTCTTTGATGTGGTCCCTACGCTTTCGTTCCAGTGCATTATGATGAGCCCGTTTGTCAGCCTAGAAGAAAGAGCATATTTGCAACGTCATTCCTTTTGCTCGGTACACGTGAGTGGGTTATAGCCGGGAAGAATATGCTGTCAGCGCAGTCCCCGGTGATGGACTGGGAAGGATTTGTTGAGGTGGGCAGTTAGGAATCTCCAGAATTAGGCTCTGCTAAAGGGGGGAAAAAGGGTGAGCAAGCCTTGTAACAGGAACATCCAAAGTAGCTCGATGCATCCAGCTCATGCATAAGTAAAATAAAAGTTATTCAAGGGGACAAAGTGTGACTCTCCTACATCAGTTTTCCTCCTAACTTACTTATGTGATAGAAAAGCCGCCAGTCCATGGTTGGGAGGTTGACCCAGGAAAAGCTCCAGGGGGCCCTTTCATAAGCTGTGATCACCCCCACTGTAAGTCAGCGATTCCCCATGGGGGGTGCCCAGGACGGGAGTTAGGGCATTGGTGCCATGCTTCTTTCCATGTGAAACCCATCACCAAGAGTCTGGTCTCCAGCTTGCTAAAATTAAAACCTCTGGAAAAACCCGAAAACATGCATCTGTGATCATTCTGACAGCTGATATAAACCCCAACTGCATTCTGAGATCCGATCTTTTAAAAGTGGATCCAGGGTGCCATCCTGCCAAAGTCTTCCCCTCACACAGCCTGTGACTGAAAGGTCTGAAAAAATATCCTTGGGCACCTGTGGCAGGTCATGCTTATTTGGCAGCAACTAAATACCCACGAACCAAAGTCTTTATCCACCTTGCTTAGACTCACAAAAAGAACAAGAACAATCAGCTGGAGAGGGGTGAAGACTGCCAACAAATCCGGAATGGCTGGAGAACACTGCAGGTCCCCATTAAAGGTGCCTTCTCTCCGAATGGAACACAAATGCTCCCTCAAGCTGAAGAATTGTCTACACCTGAGAAATTATGGAAAATAATATACTTAGAATTCTCCCTTATTATGCAAGGGTGCACTGAGCTAACCTAAGGAGCAAGTCTATATAAGGGAAGTTCAGGTAGCTTTAATCAACCCAGACAGAGCACCGGGAATTTTAAAAATGAAGTAACGAGGAAATAGTCAGCCCAAGAAAGCCTCAAATGAATCCTTGCATTAGACAAGCTGTGGGAATGAAAGGACTTGAAATTCTATTATCTAATCCTAAAAGTCTGAGTCATTACAGAGGAAGAGGAAGATGGGAGCAGCTGTGGTAATTTTAGTCACTTCCTGGTCTCTCAAGCACAACACCTCACCTATAGCTGTGCTGACTTAGACACATGGTTCCCATCACAGCCTTGGTTCTCCAGAACACAGCACTCATTTTCAGGGCAGCTGCATGGAGCATTACTAAGGCCCTCCTAATTTTTTAAAGTCTAAATTCACTATAAAATGAGTGTTTGCTGAACTTCAGTGATATAAAGAATTTATAGGGAATCTGAAAGAAAGATCAAGCTTAGACAGATTCCCTGAGGCAAGAGGTGGTACACTGTATCATACAACATTAGGGCAGAAAACTGCAGATGCCTTGAATAAGCAGTATGAAATAGCTTGAAGGAATGAAACATATTTAAGTGCCTTGTTCTTTTCTAACCTACTGTTCTCTTTAGTCACCTATACAGGTAAGTAAATTCTAACCTGGAATATCTCTACAGAGTTTAGAAGGCTGAGAGATGGCATTTGGCTTCTATCTGCCTCTCCTGTGTTTGCCACATACTCCCTAAGCTCGTTTATTTACATGCAAATTAATCGCCCAGCTTTGGTCTCCAGCAGCAGCCCAAGATACTCTGGTCTACTAAATCACCCTGATTCCTGGCCTCCTCCCAGTTTAAGAGCTGGCACAGAAGCAGTGACACCAGAGTTACCCATAATCCCTCTTGTTGATACAAATAAAATTCTAATTGTCTGTTTTCTTTCTGGGAGAGCCCTGCAAATCTCAAAAGGCCAGAATCAAGTAAACTTGGTTTTGCTCAGGCCTACACTAGAGGGATGGAGTTGAATACAATCTAACACCAAATCCATGCCCACAATACACTACCCCCTTCCCATTCACTGAGCCCTGAAAGGACTCAAATGGACAAGTCTTTTGGTTAGAGGATTGTAAGTGAACTTGGCTGAGGACCATGAGCAGAAATCTTGGCTTCTCATCTGGGGAGCTAGCCAAGTTTGAGAAGTTGGCTCAACAAGGAAAGGCAGCAGTCTACTGCCTGGTAGAAAGCCTGGGCTGGGGACTGTTGTTCTCAAAGTAGTGGATGGAATTTCTGTGGTGGTTCCAGGTCCAATTTAACTAACAGAAGAGTGGAATCTTAGCCCAATCCCTGTTGCCATATCCATCCCCAAGCAGCTACACTTAACCAAAGTCAATTTTAAAGCTCTCAGAGACAACGGAAATGATATATTTTTCTCCTCCCCAAGCCTCATTTAAAGGAGCAAGTTAAAAATAGGCAGAAAGGGCCCAGGCCAGGTAGGTCAGTTGGTTAGAGTGTCATCGCGATACACCAAGGTTATGGGTTTGATCCCCGGTCAGGGCACATGCAAGAATCAGCCAATGAAAGCATAAGTGGAACTACAACCATGTCTGTCACTCTTTCTCTCAAATCAATCAATAATTTTATTTTTTTAATGTAGAATATGCCTAATTCCAGGCAACTCTAAACTAAGTGATACCTCTATTGCCTTAGAAGAACATATGAAAAACCTTTACACAAAGCAGATAATTCTGTTTGGGAAACACTTCCAAACCACAGATTCATCCAGCCAGATAACACTGCTACCCCTCATCCCACAACCAACTCATCCAAATGGAAGGCCAGTTACCAGGCTTATCACTGCTTTGTTAACTATCTTCACTTGCTGACAACCTTTTTTAATTTTAATTTTTATTCATTTTTTACAGAGAAGAAGAGAAAGGGTTAGAGAGTTAGAAACATCAATGAGAGAGAATCATCGATCAGCTGCCTCCTGCACCCCCCCCACTGGGGATGTGCCCGCAACCAAGGTACATGCCCCCGACCGGAATCGAACATGGGACTTTTCATCTGCAGGCCAATGCTCTATCCACTGAGCCAAACCAGTTTCGGCTGGCAACCTTTTTTGAAAGGGCCAACGTTTCCGAGTTGAGAATCAAAAATGGGGCTAAGAATCCCAGGATAAGGCATCTGAGATCCTCCTACAAACTTAAAACTAGTTTTGTTTTTAATTTAAAAAGGGCCAAACAATTGTGTCTTGAACAAATAAAGCTCAACTTGGATGAGCCAGCTTTCTCTCACCTGTACTGAGAAAGATATTTGCTTATGAAAATGGGTCATACCAAATTCCAGGAGATAACAGAGATATTCTTGGGTAGTATAGCAGGCCCCCAAACACCTCTTCCGTATCCTACAAGAGCAATGGCTGGATGCTGCTGCTTTTCAAGTACAAGGGATCTGTGGTTTCTGCCAGAAAACCCTTCCTTCAGGGCGTCCCAAGCTGACAGGAATACTAAAAGGCTGCGAGATACTGAAGAGTGCCCACAGATGCTCAACAGGAACTCCAGCACCAAATCGCTTCCAGCTTTGACATCTCCGCCAAGGTTTTTATTCCGCCTCTCAGTTTTATTTCCACCAAACTTTCCATACTGGCAGCCAGAATAAAAATCTTCACCTACAATTTGTCCATCTCTGACACTAACAAGCACACGTATCTTAAGTATTGTTAAATGTTGAAAGCAAGCATTATTTTGTTAGCCAAAAAGTTGCCAAAGCTAAGGAGGTCTATTCAAAATTGAGGGGAATCTCTTAAAATTATTTCCTTCCAATTTATTGCATAGAGAATGCATACTCATCCAAGGCATTACATCAGTCAGCAACCTTATTTTCTGCAAGTTCTGGGTAGGAAAATAGCACGGGAAAATAAATACTCTGTTATTGAAGAATGCACAGGTACTCCAGAATAATGCCATTTCTTGCAGGCTACCTCATATCTAATCCCCTCTATAAGGGGAGTCTTCTCAATCCCAATAGAGAAAATTCTCAGCAAATAGGGAATTAGAGTTGCCCAATAAACATTTACTAACTTTAAGAAATTTAAAGGTTGCTTTTAGAGGGGAGATAGTGTTGCCTTCGATTTTTAATTCTTATTATTAAACAGTAACACTGAAAATACAGACTCAAAATTCTCATCAGAAAAGATCTATTACCTCTGATAGATGGGAAGAGGACAGAATAAATAAAACTGAATTTCTAAGCAACTCATTGTAATCAACATGAAAAATGCAACATGAAGTAATAGGTAGCTAGGATGAGAAACTAAGGTCCTTAATAAGAAACTATAGATTTCAACTTCCCACACTTCTCCTACTGGAAGCCTGTTATACATTGCTAACATCTAATAGATACACGTGTTTTCAAAACTTTCTTAAAACAATCATTTGGTGCCTAAAAGAACTTGGGAACACTATTTCCCAAATATGGCATCATACTGCAGCCATTTAAGAGAGTAAGAATGCCTTCATCAGGAAATTTTAATTGAAAATCAACTTGGATTCCTTGATCAACTATTTCACCATTATTAGCATCTTGGAAACAGAAAAATGTAAGAACACCCTTTATTCTAATGAACAGCCATATTTATGAAACAAACCTGGCATTTCTCTATCACTGTTAACACCAAGCAGACACAAAGTACATACATCATACAGCACTTAACCAAGCAACTAATTCCTGGTAAAACAGAAAGTAATTTCCTGAGTCAATTCCGATCTCAGAGGCAACCAAGCTCATTCCCTACTGAATACACTGCAATTCCTAAAGCAGCAAAGAGCTCTGAGATATTAAAAATATTTCATACCAGAAAGATCCAGAAGTGAAATAGCACAAATCTGTTCTTAAACTCCCTGACAAATATAATGTAACTGCAACAAGTTCAGCTAGAGGGTAAGTTGAAAAAGGCCTTGAGTTTTTGATCAACAATTAACCTTACATTTTTAGTGTACCTTTGTTCTTTCCAAAAGAAATTTCTCAAACGGAAGTAAAATTAAAAGATCACTTTGCATAAAATATATCTGTCCCAGAAAATTATCTTTAAAATGCAAAATAATAATAAAAATAACATCAGTGAGATTCTGATATATATTAAATTTAATAATAAAAATACTGTTTGGAGTTACTTCCTTTTACACAGATTGGTCACTGGAGCTGTGTTCCGTTTGCACTGAGGCAACAGAAGAAAAAAAAAATTCGTCAAATTAGTTTCACTTTCTCTTACAGTTAGCTTCACTTCCTAACTTTTCTTGTGAAGTACCCTACATTTCTCATGCAGTAAGGCCATAGCTATTGTAGTTGACATAAAAAATAAATAAATAAAAATGTTTCTTTTCATGAGGACCCAGCAGAATCTTTCCTAAATAACTTTTTAAAAGTACTTCAGTAGTCCTAAATATGCGGTTATTCAGTTCGCATCCTTTTCTGAATGAGGCAAAGCTTAAGAATAGCTTCCCCCTAATTAAAAAAAATATATATATTTATGATCTATACTAAATGTAAAGAACTAAATAGATGTTTTCAGAGAAAAATAATGAAATCCTTTTTACCCTACACGTTTATGATAACTGTTTGATATTTGTCTATTGCTTCTTCTCTCCACGCTCCTGTGATACTCCCGTGCCAGATAATATTTAAGTCTCAGCAAGCAGATGTGTTAAATTAAAAAAAGGTCAAGCCCACTCTCTTTGCCCACTTCCCCAAACAAAAGGGAAAAACCCTAGGCACCTTAACATCAAACTAAAAATATCTAGACAAAACAATGAGATTAGCATTCTAGGAGAATGGAAACATTTTAATAATTTAACAAAGCAATTTACATCAACACCCATCAAGTCAAAATTTCACAAAGAAAACATTTCTCTCATTGGAAAGCCAATGTAATTCCAATTCAAGTAATGATTCTGCAAAGGCTACCTAACCAATCCCTATTCTCTAACCATGATCAACTCCAGGGGAGACTTTAGGACTGGAGACTTGGAGAAAGAAATGTTTTAAATAGACTGAGTTCCAAACATGAAACTCCACATTCTCATGATTAAGGTTAATAGTAACTGGGGGGAGGGGGGAAGGAACTGAATTTTCAAATATATGCATAAAATTTAGTATCTGACAATACTTCAAGGAGAAATAAAATGAATTCTTTCATAGTGACTATTAGCCAGGGACAATTTTTAAGAACCCTGGAACAAGTGCATCCTTGGATTTTAAGGAAATATTAGCTTTCAATAAATAAAATTTTTCTTAATGCCTATCTGCTTGGACAAATGGCAGAATCCTTGCTTGCTCTAATGAAGGTACAAGTAAGGCTTGCTTTTATCCTGTGGTAATTAAATTCTTTGATCAGAGGTATTCTACAAATTCTTAACAAGCCTTCCAAACCAAGGGATCATCCCACACATCATTTTGAAAATCAGAAAAGTAACATACTAAAGGATTTCTAATCTTTCTTTAAAAATAGGAAGATCTGGCAACAAGGAGCCCTCCTTCCTACATAACAACCCACTGGAGTTTAGCGGTTGCCTTTAAAAGAGGCATGTGTTCTCCAGTATCCTAGTCTTGACCTCTAGTCTCTCCTTTATTCTTGACTATTTTATTGCCTGGGTCCTCCAGAGGCATCTACATTTTCAACCCCCATTCTATATACTTCTTACTGTTCCCAGCTGTCAAATACTAGACAGTGATACACTTATTTCTCTTCCCTTTTCTGATTATGATTTGTTTATTTATTCTAACATAGTCATGGAATAACCACGGCTCTGTTTCCAAACACCTAAGATTAGTGCATATCTATAGCTATACTCATAGATATAGCCATAAAACCACCTTCTGAGAACATCAATATCAAAACCCTGAGAAATTACTGCTAACACTGCCCAGTCTCAACCATCAGCCTTCAGCAAAACTATCTCTGCAACGCAAATTTCCTTCCACAATTTTTGTTTCCTTTATACCTCCTTCACCTCAGATACACTCAGACCACCATAAGCTGTCTGCGAAATTTTCATATTCAACCATTGGCTCCTCTACATTTCCAACTTCTGCATTAGAATAATGCCACCTTATCCTAGATTCTACAGGTCTACAGCAGTCACATGACTTACGGTGACTGTCACGTGGCTTCAGTTTTACACAACTTTGTAGATATGCTTTAGAACCTACTTGTTCCAAAGTAAATCTTCTGACCATTCTGCTCTGAAATACCACCACAGTTCACTTCAGGATGATGTACTTCTCATTTCCGACACACAAGAGTGACAGCTAGATTCCCCCACCTGAAAACTACAGAATGATTCATTTATTGGCATACAGCTCCTCTCACCCACAGTCACTGGAACTTATCACCTGAGAATCTAGAATTATGAGATTTGTAACCCCTCCCCAACCTAGAACCCCAGAGCAAGGCTCCACCTCACCTTAGCGGTTAGCAGGAAAGTTTACTACAATATTAAAAGTAATAGAGTGATCTTTTTTCTCTCTGACCCCAAAAAGGACTAGAACTGAACGGAAATGAAAATGAAATGGAGAGTAGGAGACGTACCGCAGATTGAAACCTCGGTTGCTCTTCCTGGAATAAGAGAGAAAAAAAAATAGAAAATATAGAAGTTATTTTTACACTTCGCATTCAATAATAAGAAAATGCCGGCGGCGGAGGAAGCGACGGGTGGGGAGTCAGCCCGAACCCCCCTCCCCCCACTTCTTTGCCCCACACCCCCATCTCCCCAGCGAGATCCGGTGTCGGGACAGGGGGTCCCGAGCGCCGCCCCTTCTTCCGGGATCCGACCCAGGCCGGAGGGGGTCAGAGCACTGTCTCCTGCCCTCCGACCCAACTGGGCCGTCGGGGCGCTCCCAACCCTTCTGCGTCCACCCTCATCCCCCCCCCCCACCTCCGGGATCCGCGGGTCAAGGGAGGAGGGGGTCGCGGAACGAAGGGGCAGGTCCTGAGCGCCGTCCCTTTCCCCAGAATCCGGACAATGGGATCCGGGGCGCACCCCGTCCCCGGAACGGGATCAGGTGGGGGCGGGAGGCCGCAGCACCCTCCGCCACGGGAGAGGTGGGGATCACAGAGGCCGCACGTCTCCTCCCCACCTCCCGTCTCAGAAGGCCGCTCGGCTGGGAGCCCGGAGGGGAGCGAGCCAGGAGGGCGACGGAGGCGGCCCCAGCCCGAGGGTCGGAGGCCGGCGGCGGCTGCCCGGAACCCCGCCGCGGTGGCCCCGCCGAGAGCCCGGGCCGCTGTCCCTGCCGTCCCCGCCTGACAACCCCCAAGGGAAGGAAGAAACCCCGGGACTCACGTCGCTCTCCACCTCGATGTCATCGTTATCGCTCATTTCCTACGGCCCAGGGAGCGGCCACTGCAGCAGCGGCGGGGAAGGGGGAAGGGTGGAGGGGAGGGGGAAGTCACCGACAACAAGCAAGTCCCCCCACACACTCACTCACTCACTCACTCACTCGCTCTCTCACTCACTCACACACTCACACACACACGCACACACACACACAACACGGGCGAGAACCACCTCCTCACTGCAGCACCGGATCAACGGCGGCACGCACGCCCGGCCGGCCCCCTGACACGTGACCGGGCTCGTCACGCTGGGGCCACCGAGACTTGTAGTTCCTGTTCCTTTCGCCGACGGCCCAGCGAGCTCCAGAAAAACTACGACTCCCATAAGGAGCTGCATCTGGTTGTCGCCAGTCCAGCTTGCGAAGGGAACCCAGAGCGCCTGCGTATCCTGTGGAGGAGGGCGGGGACAGAAGCGCCGCGGTGCCTGCTGGGAGTCGTAGTCCGTCGACCGCGAGTTGTCAGGAGGTTTCCTCCCTAGGCAGCTGCGGAGGCTGCTGGGAAGACAGGACACGTGGAGTGAGCTGGGGCTCCTGAAGCCGGGCGCCGTATGAGGGCTGGGCGCTGGGCCCAGGGGACAGGGTGGAGACTCTGGGGGAGTAGCCGGCTGCCTAAATAACGCTGCCTCTCCTTGGTACGAGTGGTTTTACTTTCCTTTTTTTTCTTCTTTTTTTTTTTCTTTTTTTTTTTTAATGCTCTGAGTGGCTCTGCATTGCGTCCTGGGGCGTAACCGCCAGCTCGGGGGCGGGGGATGGAGGTGGGGGTGGGAGTGTATCCTGAGGCGGCGGAGGACTTGGGGGCGCGGCTTCGGGTGCACACCCGAGGACCCTGGGGATCTGGCTGTGGGGAGGTGCCAATGGCAGGTGTTCAGTGTGTTACAAGATAGGCAGGGTGACCCGCCTCGCTGAAGGACAGCTCCCAGACGTGATAATCTTGTATTTATTAATTGGGACTGATCGTCTTGCTACTCTTTCACATACACAGACATCCTTTTCCTCCACCCCCGCCCCAACAACTGTTTATGTGGAAGTAAAAGCCTCTCCTGAGCTGTGGCCCAGGCGCTGTAAGGAGTGGCCCAGCAGTTTGCAGTACCGTCATTAAGAATTGCAGAAAGTATCCAGAACAGTGACCGCGTAAGAAATGTCCAAACCTAGAGAGAATTTTTTTTTTCTAAGAGTTTATTTGAGCCAAACTGACAACACATGCCAGGGAGCAAGATCCCAAAGCCTAGGGAATACGTTTTTTTCAGTGTCCTTTGTGCATTTGAGATTAAGGCGATAACGTAAAGATTACATGAAAATGGGGAAAGTGAGTTGGGGATTGGATTGCAGGACAGTTCAACTCACACTTTAAAAGGAGAGGTCTGAAAGGGGGCTTTTCAAAGGTATGTTAACCTAGACGCAAGAAACAATGGGCAGGGCTTGCTTACGGGAAAGCGAAGCCTTTCACTAAAGAAGTTATATGCCGGGGCATGACCTGCCCAGTTAGGAATTTTTGATCAGATCCTCCTGTGAGGTTACTTTCCATAGAAGCCCTTCTTCCACCCACAACAGGAAAGCTGTGCAGTTAAATTCATATTTAAATGTTGTTGCATGAGGTGTGATCATATCCATTCCACCACTATTACTGAACACCTAACGTGTGCCAGCACTGGGATGCCATACTGGATAAGACTGGAACAGTCCCAGCCTTCATGTTGCTGTGGAAACAAAAATTAGAATGCCCTGCCACCATTTTAACAGTGAACATCAAGTCCCACAGAAAGAAAAAACAATAACGATATGCTTTCAGCCCTGACATAAACAGAGTAGCAGAACTACTTTTACATCTGGTCTCCAAAATGAATGAAATCTTGAGCTTTTTCCATAAATTACTGAATTTTTAATGAAAACCATTCTATCTCCGACATTTGAATACAGAAACTTGGACTCTGTCACATTTATATTTCTTTTGTTGTATTTCTTTTGTATTCTGTTGTGTCTCTTATTCAGTGATCCAATCCTACTGAAGTTTGCAGGTCTTTACAAGTAATCAGTCATCTTCTCTAAATGCTTTTGTCTCTTAGTCATCTTTCACACTAAGTGGGAGAGATAGGCATAAGTAGGACAGTACGTTATAAGAACTGATGGGCTATAAGGGAGTCAGGGAAGGTAGCTCTTGGGTGAGTTAATTTAGCTGGATATTAGAAGTTAGGGCTTATTCATGATTGCAACCAACAATTACTGGGTGCCAGTTAGGTGCAAAGCACTACAGGGCAATCCTGGCTACAAGTTAAAATCACTCCAGGGCTATTAAAAAGTTCAATACCCTGGCTGTGCCCCAAACCAATTAAGTCAGAACCTCCGGGGATGAGGACCGGCAGCAGATGTTTTTTTAAAGCTCTGCAGGTGATTCCAATGTGCAACCAAGATGGAGAACCACTAATGCCAAGGATCCAAGGTAAGTAAGTCTTCCACTGAATCGTATACTTTACAAGAGTGAGTTTTATGGTTTGTCAATAATTATATGTCAATAAAGCAGTTATATAAAAGTAGGGTAATCGTTGCCCACCCAAAATCCAAAACCTGATAGGGTTGTAAATTATGAATACAAATAACTGCAAAGAAGATAGACTAACTTAGCTGCACAGGCAGTGAATGCCGTAAGAGCTCAGAGCAGGGAGACATGTTTCCAGGTCTGAGGTGGGAGGGGAGAGGTTGGTGCTCAGGTAAGTCTTCTTAGGCTGTCAGGTCTGTCAGGGCAAGGGTGGGGTCTGCAGAGACCCGGTCCAAATCTGGTGAACATGAATCCCCAATTATTGGATGGAGGCCTGAGGAGGTAGCAGAAGTGCAGAGGGAAAACTTTCCAGGTAGAGAGCCTGGAGGTTTTAACACATTTCTTCTTAGTAAATTGATAGAATATGAAGACCCATCAACCTAGGTAATAAGTTTCACCTAAGAGACATAAAACGTGTCACCCAACAATTGTAGAATTGTAGCCCCTTGCTACTCTAAGCTTGGTCCAGTGGTATCCACATCACCAGGGAGCTTGTTAGAAATAAAGGATTCACCCAAGACCTACTAAAACCGGTTTGGCTCAGTGGATAGAGCGTCTGTCTGCGGACTGAAAAGGTCCCAGGTTCGATTCCGGTCAAGGGCATGTACATTGGTTGCGGGCACATCCCCAGTAGGGGGTGTGTAGGAGGCAGCTGGTCGATGTTTCTCTCTCATCGATGTTTCTAGCTCTCTATCCCTCTCTCTTCCTCTCTGTAAAAAATCAATAAAATATATTTAAAAATAAATAAAATAAAATAAAATAAAATAAAATAAAATAGACCTGCATTGTAACAATATGCTCAAGTGATTCATATGTGCATTTGAGAGGCTCTGATGAGAGAGGAAGGGAGACCACAAGTGTTCCCCTTTCCCCCATTGATCTCTTCTAGCCGTCCCTCCCCACCCCCAGGCCTTCACCACCCTATTGTCTGTGTCCATGGGTTATGCATATATGCATACAAGCTCTTTGGTTGATGTTTTCCCTCCCCCCCCAGCCCCCCCCCCATGCCCTCTTCCCTCTCAGCCTTCCCTCAGAGACTCTTAAGTCTGTTCTACATCCCTGTATCTATTTTGTTCATCAGTTTTTAAAAAAATATATTTTATTGATTTTTCACAGAGAGGAAGAGAGAGGGATAGAGAGCTAGAAACATCAATGAGAGAGAATCATCGATCAGCTGCCTCTTGCACACCCCTGCTGGGGATGTGCCTGCAACCAAGGTACATGCCCTTGACCGAAATCGAACCTGGGACCTTTCAGCTGCAAGCTGACGCTCTATCCACTGAGCCAAACCGGTTTTGGCTCTTCACTTTATTTTGTTCATTAGATTCCACATATGAGTGAGATCATGTGATACTTGTCTTTCTCTGACTGGCTTATTCCACTTACCAGAATACTCTCCAGGTGCCTCCATGCTGTTTCAAAGGGTTTTTACTGCTTTCTTCTTTTTTGAGGGGGAGGGTATAACCTCAGGGGTCCCAGAAGGAGCCAGCTGGCACACTCAAATTAGGATCATTCAAGGAGGTTTTAATAATGAGGTTGTTTACAAATATGTGAGCAGGATGTAAAGAAACTGTGCCCATCTATAGGCGTGTAGGGGAGAGGGAATGAGTGGTTATGGAGCTGGGTCTAGGGTATAGGAAAGGGCCCTCTGACAGGAGCTCAGACTTGGAGCCCAGGGCCCCTCTGACAGGAGCTCAGACTTGGAGCCCAGGGCAATTGGATCGGGAGGACCAAAAGGAAGATCTCTGAGGCACGACAGAGGACCCTTTTCTCCTCTTACACTTGCAGAGAGGGCTGGGAACTGCCAACCTCCTGCTTGTCCTCCACCCTGCAGCCAGAATGACCTCTCAGGAATGAAATATCTTCACTCTCTTGATTAAACCCTTTCACCCATCTCCATGTTCTGGGGATAAAACCCAGACCAGAGTTTGGCACATTAAGATGCTTCATGATCTGGCTGGCTCCTTGGCCAGTCTCATCTTTCAGCTCCTGCTCTCCCACCCTCTACCCTCTCTCTAGTCATGCAGAATTTCTGCCCATTTGCCTAAAGGACCACGTTTCCTTCAGCCTTCAGGGATTTTCACATGTGTTCCCTCTGCCCTAGGTATCCCATTTACCTCCCTTCTCATCTTCTTTGACATAGCCATCAGAGCCTCCTCCAGGAAGTTCTCCTGGATTCTCCAAGGCTGGATTAGGGAGAATGCACTGAGCCAAGGGCAACCAGTTTCTCCTCCCAAATTTACCAAGCTGATGAGTCACTCTTCCTCCAAAGGGGATAGAGAAGGGGGTATCCCTCCCATATCTTTCCCTCCCTGAAGAGTAGACTGGCCAGTGCCTTGAAATTCCAGCCTCCAAAACTGAACAATAGGTTTCTGTTGCTATAAATCAGCCAATCTGTGACATTTTGTTATAGCAGCACAGATGGACTAAGCCAATCACACTTGTTTTTATTTGGTATTTGTTTACTTATTTATGGGCAGCCACCCCACTCGCATATAAGCCCCATGAGGTCGGGGGCTGTGCCCATTTTGCTCCTATTCATATCCCTGGCACTCAGCATGATAGCTGGTATATGGTTGGTACATAATAAATACTGCAATACGGAAACTCACAGTTG